CTCTCTCTCTCTCTCTCTCTCTTTCTCTTCCTCTTTATACTATTATTAGTATTATATAAATAAACAACACGCAATGTGTGTATCCATCTTTTTTATCGTGACGTCACACATGACACGTGAACTCTGACAGTGAATTATGAGACACAGCCCATCGTCAATGGAAGAAATAATGAGCTGTATTCCCTGGGGAAATTAATTCACCGAACAGTTGTTTTTTCTCCTGCTTTGAAATATAACCATTCTCACACAAATGTGTGTGTTTACCGGTGTCTGCTGATAAAATTTACGCCCAATATGGTCTATACTCAAGTATTGTCCGTTAAACAAGTACTCCAAAAAGTGTATTTTCTCGGGCAATGACAGTTGAACATTTACTCCGAAAAGTGTCTGTTCTTCTGTTCTGACAGTCAAACAATACAATTGTTGTTTAACATTACATTTGAACTCCAAAAATTGTTTGTTCTACTATATTTTGATTGTTGAAGATGAAAATTTAACTCAACAAATTGTTTGTGTTCCTATATTAAGTATCAAATATTTACTCCTAAGTTGGTTTTTTTTTCTTCAAGTATTGACTGTTAAACCTTAATTGCACCCCAATGTGTCTAGTCTCCTATGCTAACTGTTGACCATTCACTCTCTTTTTTTGACTGCGGTGGTTCTAAAATAGGGCTTAGCGATTGGTGTAAAAAAAATCCCCCAAAAGAACACACCACACCCTTTATTGATAAAGCAACACTGGCTACCAGTTAAAGCAAGAACTTATTGATTACAAAATTGCTCTTTTTTGTCTCAAGAGCATTAACAACAAAGCACCACAATTTCTTAAAGACCTTACTGAGCCATACATACCACCAAGACATTTGAGATCTGCTGATATTTTAAGAGAGTGTTCACTGTAAGATCTAACTGGTTTTGTGGAAGAGTTTTTTTTTTCCTAGGCCCCTAAAATGTGGAAATCCGTCCTAAGAGAAATGAGTCAGAGAAAGAGTTTAAAGGATGTCTAAAGTCTAAGGACACATTTTGTGGAACAGTATCCTCTGCCAGTAATTTTGTATCTGAGAATCTGTGTGGGCCTGGGAGTTGTGTGTGTGTGTCTGTGTGTGTGTGTG